CATGATAAGGAGGTTATGTTACGAGTTATGTTATTCGTATGATAGTCGTGTGTTATGTTTTGAGGTCAAGCAAGTGGTGGAACAAAAGTCGATGAAAGTCATCACAAGTTACATTCATAAGTTTTACTGAAACTTTGGGTCAAATGTAACTGTGATTTTATCCCAATATACTTAGAGTTATGGGGTGTTCCACCCATCAAATTAAAGATCTATGAGTCTAATTTCCAACGCATTAAACCGTTTATCAATACTATATTGGAGTAGAGAGATATGGGCATTTGTGCGAGACTGCGCAGACTGTCACCTACTTGCTTAAATGAGAATCCAAAACCGGGCCAGTTCGGGTCGTCCAAATCTGGGTCAGTTCGGGTCGTTCAAAGAGCCCTTTTTAAAGGCCTATCCCCTTCATATATTAGGATGATAATAGGGCAAAATAACCAGACTTAATCTCTGCAAAAATCCTCCCAAACATTTCCCACAAACCCCAATTGATTTTCTCTCCATTTCAAGTTCTAATTGGAGGTAAAGCCTAAAGTTTGAAGAACCAAGATAGGAGCTGAGTTATCCCACAAATAAGGTAAGTTTACTGCTCTCTTTCATCCATTCTTTACAGTTGTAGATGCATGGTAAGTTGTTCTATATTTGTAAGAACTCACGGGACGGTGATCGGAAGCCGTGAGTTCTAGTTATTCACTTGTAGCGGACTATTTTATGGATTGTTTTGTGGACTGTTTGGTGTTGTTGTTGGGTTGCGTGATTTACTACTATTTTGTGGAGTTTTGGAGGAGGAAGGGTGTGTAGAAATACCACATAAATGCAGGATGTTGGGCTGGTCGTTCATCGCAACCTTTTCGGGGTTGTTGACACTACTACGGTGGTCGTTTTGTGTATGAAGAGATTGGGGTGTGTTGGGCTATTTTGTAGTATTGTGTGGTGTACATAAGGTTGGAAAATAATGTATATATGTTATTATTGTTGTTTTTGGTGTTGTTGGTGTTATCTTGAATTTGGAGGAAGTAATGATTATAGGGGAGATGCTGTCTGTTTGAATACAAAATAAGCATGTCGTTCGTTGTGCGATAGTTGTACTCTTCGTAACTTAATGATAGTATTATTATCGTTGTTGTAGATTAAGGTGAGAAGAGGCGAGTTCAACTTGGTGATTGGAAAGATTGTGATAAGGTATGTTAAGGCTAAGCCCTTCCTTCATTTTGGCATGATCTCGTAACTACATATGTTTGATAACGAGACCTAAAGAGAAGTTCGTATTCATGAATTTATTAACATTATCCTAGTCTCAAAAGTTATAGTATTCTCCCTTATCGGGACTTTATATTCAGTTAAGTATTATTTTCTTCCAGGCAAGTGAGTAGAGGATCTATATATCTATATAGTATTACAGTATTTTTACCACCATCGAGCTATAATCGATGGGCAGACCCCTATTGGGCAACCTCTGATCATATGGTAAGTTATATATACTGAGCCTACTGTGGACGAGCGCCTATGAGCGAGCCCAGGATGGCCGAGATACAGAGCCTAGTATGGCCGAGCGCTATGAGCGAGCCTACTACGGCCAAACAGTTACACGTACCGAGCCTTATAGGGCCGGACATTTATTTTACTTACTATATTGAAGGAGTTGAGTCATTATCATCAGGTAAGTATATCTCTAGATCATATTTGACTCCCAGTTACTTCCAGTTATTATATTATCAGTTTAGTTTCAGTTTTTAGTTATGTTATTGCCATACATACTCGGTATATTATTTTGTATTGACGTCCCTTTTCTGGGGACTCTGCATTTCATGCATGCAGGTTCAGATAGACAAACGGGTAGACCTCCTCAGTAGGTGTTTCCGGAGTTCAGCCTGATCGGTAAGCTCCACGTCCTTCGGAGTTATCGGGTCTAGGTTTTTGTGTACATCTTCTATATGTATGTATATATGTTATGGGTAGGTCGGGACCCTGTTCCGATCACAATATATCCATCACTAGAGGCTTGTAGACATATCATGTTGGTTAGTGCAGTATGTTGGGCTTGTAGGCCCGGTATGTATATTTTGGTGGTTTGTCAGTTGTAGTAGTTATGACGGCCTTGTCGGCCCAACTTTATATTGATGTTTAGTCAATACTAGTTTTCATTCAGTTTTATATTCTGCTTCGCAAATTGTCTTGCAAGGTGGCTCCATGGCCAAATTATGACATTATATGTTCAGGGTCCCTTAGTCGCAATTTGGTACGCTAGGTTAGGTGAGGCACCGAGTGCCGGTCTCGCTCCCAGGTTCGCGGCGTGACACCATTGTATTTAGGAATTTCTGGCATTCGAATTTCTTCGGAATGGGTTTTCAAGCCGCACTTGGGGGGAAAGGCTTCTGTACAAATTTCTTTGAATCCATACCCTTTAGAATCAGTGATGCCCCCGGTATTTGGTCAACCCGGGAGTTGTATGTTTCCATTTTCTTGTCATTCACCTCGATTTTCTTTTCTCCCGATTCAATCCGTTTAGTGAGCTCCTCGAGCATTTTCATAATGGTGGGGTTAGTCCCCGATTCGTTGACGTCCGACCTTTCTGGCACAGGATTCAGTGTTGATTTTGTAATTGCGCTATAGCAGCTTGTTGAGCCTATAACATTTCGAATATTAATTGGAGGCTAACTCTACCATTTTCTCCACCCTGAGTACCTCGACCACCTGATCGAACTTCTCTGCGTATGCTACCTTCGGGATCAACGCCCAAATTTGTGTTTAGGGCAACATTTGAACGGACATCGATGTGATTTGCAATTGGTGCTTCCTCGAGGTTAGCCTGAGGCACCTCGATCCCTATGGCGGCTACATTATCATTTTCCCCGTGAAATCCGAGGTCGTTGTCACCATGTGTAGGCGCTGCTTGTGAATTTGACATGTTTATCCAGAAAACAAAGATTTTTACGAGAACAAGTGTAAAGCAGTGTGTGTTATTGGAATTAGTATTAAGCAATCACTATTATCCTTATCCCCACGGTGGGCGCCAAACTGTTTACCCTTAAAATTAGATAACAATTAAACTTATAATGTGGTTTCAAGGACACGTAATTTTACCTAATACCAATTGATAAAAGTGAGGATGGGTAATAGAAATTAACAATAAAGTAAAGCAAATCAGTATTAGAATGAAACTCAGCCCTCGAGTTTGGACACCCTCGAACTGGTTGATACAAGAACAATCAAAGTGTAACAAACTAATGAACAATAGTTTAAATGAGAAAGAGAATTATATTGCCTTTTTGCCTGTCAAAAAATGTGTCTTACAAATGATTAGAACCCCTCTTTATATAGTAGAAGAATTCCACTTATGGTATAATTCTAATTACAGAAGGAAATTTCATGATTGGCTAATTAACCGTTTCTGATTCGATCCGTTCCGAGATTTATGCCATGATCCTCGACTAGTTAACGAGATTTACGTCATGATCCTTGACCAATCACAGATATCTCGTCTTTCTGTTATTATGTTATCTTCGATCTTTACTCGATGTCTGTCTCATTTGGTTTCGATCGCTACTAGCCTCGATCTCGACAGGTACCTCGATTCTGAATACTGTACCTTATCCTTGTGATTTATTCTGTTCCGTTACGAGGCCGTCCTTTGATGCAACCTCCCAGTCTCGGTCAAATAATAAAATGATTTTAACCGTATACATATACCAAGTCTCAGATCTAATATTTTCATTCATGGTATTTGCGATTTTGTTGTATAAATTTTACTGATTTTGATATTTTTCTGTTGACTTAATTTTATAGGCTTGGTTTGAAGAAGCTTGCGCAGACTAAGAAAGAAAAGAAGGCTGCAAAAGATCCTAAGAAATCTCCAAGTGCCTTCTATGGAGGAGTTCAGGAAGCAGTACAAAGAGAAGCATCCTAACAACAAATCTGTTCCCGCTGTGTAAGTTTTTTTCCCTATAACTAGATCCAAATATATATCATTTCTGATATTTTTCAGTGATTTTTGAATTGTATATTTTCGCATTTTAATTTTTAGGTTGGTAAAACTGCCGTAAGTAATCAATTTTTATTTTGATTTATTAGTAGCACAAAAAAGAGAATTATATTGGCTAAAATTTTTATGTGATTTTGCGATTCAGAGTTGCTAATTTTTGTAATAATCTTAAATAGGAGAAAGCTCCTTATCAAGCAAAAGCAGAGAAAAGGAAGGTTGAGTACTAAAAGAGCATGAGGGCTTATAACAACAAACAAGTAAAATTTATGCTCTCTGCTGCATTGTTTATACTGTTATTTTGATCTAATTTTAAAATTTGGTAATTTTATAGGCTGGTGTTTCAAATGAAGAGGAGGAATCTAACAGGTCAAGGTCTGAGGTTAACGATGAGGACGATGACGAAGAGGGAAGTGTTAATATTTTGCTATATTGTCGATAGAAATTTTTATTTTGACAGATACACGTTAAATACTCTTACTATAATAATTATTTTAATCCAGTGCTTGCTTGTTTATTTGACAGGAGGAAGATGATGATTAGACATATATTGGCAGATGATATGAAGAAAAAGGCACCAGAATTTAGTGTCGGAAGAAATAGCATATGACATCTATTAGCCTATCCCTTAATAAATAGTAGTTGCCTTTTTTGTTTTTTGTTTTAATGGGCTTAGTTGGGAAAGACCAAAAGAAATTAGATGAGCTCAAGTTGTTCATGTACTCTATTTTCTTGGTGCTTAATGATAATGATAATTCAACTAGGACAAGCACTCATTTCTGGGACCAGATCTGATACTTGGTACTTTCGTGACAATTGTGCAAAAATATCTTTTTTTTGGTCAAGTGAAGAAAATTTCTAACTGGGAGTTGCTTTTAATTTGGTCGCAGCTAATATATCTGTCTTTTTTGCTAGTGGTCTTTTGACTTTTGGGGATTTGTTATGTGTCTTATTTAAAGCTCGATGGTATTCACGCCTAATTCTTTGGTTGTGGTTTAGGTTCCCTTCGTTTGCACTTTTTCTCCATGCTCTTGGTTTTATCTGAAGTTGGAAAATTGAATATAGTTGTTTTTGTTTACGCTCAAAATCGGATAACAATTAAATTTGTAAGTGGTTTTAAGGATACATGAATTAACTTGACACAAAATGATAAATTAGAATGTAATTGAAATAAATACCGATAAAGTAAATACAAACAACGTGAATTGGACAATTTTAGCCTTGGGAGATTAGCCACCCTCGAGCCGAATGCACTTCGATCGGTATTAAGACTCAGAAGTATAAGAGCTTAAAGAGAACAATAATAATGTATTGCTTTGGAATGCGTGTTACAATGTATTAAATAAATTATGAGATCCTTTTATATAGTAGAGGAGTCATACTTTAGGTACAATTCTATAAAAGGTAAAAAATATCTTGATTTGTCGATTGTCAGTTCCTCATTGATACGTGCCAAGATTCCCGCCGTAATATCCGACCGGTCACGGATATTTCGGTCTGATGTTATGCTAACAATGTTTCTTCGAACTCGTTCGGAGTTGGGATCGATTTCGGGATCACGGCCCCGATACTCTCGAAGGGAGGCGCTCCAGCCCCGGGTTCTTGTCCGGTGGTACTTGGGATCGATATTCAGTCATTTATTACCACATTCCGAACTTGACCTACTATATCGTACGCGAGTTCGATTTTGACCGTATAAAGTTTTTATGAATATTAGTTGATGCTGAACATAATAGGGGATGATTTTAGATTATGTTATATTTCACGATCCAATTTTTGTTGCGTGGCATTGAAGACTTGCATGTGATCTGTCTTTACGATATAATATTCCCTGGCTGAGTTGTTTAATTGTGAATTGATGGTTATATATCGCCCATTTATCATATTGAGATATCAAAACAGTAAAGACTTGTACCAAATGATAAGAATAACAAATTTGGTGATTACTTTATAAAGGACCAACATGGTCTTTACTCTTCAATGAATACCCAACTAGATTATTTTATGGCTTTTGATTAAGGAGTCTCAAAATGGTGTCACTGTCACCTTGTCTCAGTTTTCTGCTATTCTCAGTCAGAATAGATTGAAGTATTTCTTTTGAACTTAGTACAAATATTTTTAATTTACAACTTATTTTGTGTTGTATCTATTCACATCATGTTGAATATATGTGAATTGAGGATAATTAGAACTTATATGCTGCTTTTTGTTTTCGAAAATCCAAAATCCGTAACAAAAAAAGAATTGTATCAACTCCTAATTTCAATCCAAACATTAGTTAACTGGATTCTTTTATTGTTTTGTTTTTGAAAAAGAGTTAATTTAGGTGAAAACAAGAACAAGCGATATAACAACAGTATTTGACAAATTAAAGTCTACATGCAAAGAATGATACCCGTGGATAAGAGCCACTGACTTAATTCTGAAGCAGAAAATATCAATAAGCGAAATAATGTTAATACGCATGAATATAAACATAATTTTTTTTAGCAAAAGTATGTTATTTAGTTAATTTCACAATTATCTCAATTTCAATATTTAACCATTTCAACGATAACAGAATGTAAAAGTTGGTACTGTCAGGATATTAGTTGTTTTCTATAATTTCTAGTGTCATGCACATCTCTGAACGGGCTAGTATAATCTTAGCAAAATTTGAACCTAATACAAGATTGCCGATATGAAGCTTTTTTTTTACATTATATTCTATTCTTTTACGAAATATACATGTATTCCGAAATATTGTTAATCTTTTGAAAAAAAAACTTTTAATCTTCTATTTACGTAATTTTAATCATTTTTGTCTATTACTATGTTTTCACATCTATGGATAGGCATATTTAAATTTACGTAGAACAAAATCCAATCATCTCAATTAACATTCACTTATTTTATGCTGCATGTGTGAAATTTTTTAAAATGTAATGGGAAGGAAATCTCTTGGAAAAATCGCCTCTAGGGAGGTTAGGGTTGAGAGTTTGAAAGAAATTTGCTAAATACCGTTTCCCCCCTCTTTTCCCAACTATGGATGTCGCAATTGCGTTATCTTGTTTGCAATTGCGAACATCACAAATACGAAAAAGAGGTCGCAAATGCGAACCCTTCTCAGAAGGTCAGTCATCGCAAATGCGATGTTTTGGTCGCAAATGCGAACCCATACTTAAAAACTGAAATTTAAAAAAATAAAGCCCTTTTGGAGAGATGGGTGGGGTTAGGTGGGTGGGCGTGGGGGTGTGAGGTGGGTTGGTGAGGATGGGGAATATGGTGGGGAAGGTTGAGAAGGAGTTTTGGGAAATATTTTCTCTTCTCTTGATAAGGAAAACATTTCCTCTAAGTTGATAAGGAAAATATTTTCCAAAATATTTAAACTAACCAAACATGAAAAAATTGGAAAATATTTTTCGAAAAATATTTTCCTTCATACCAAACATACCTTTAGACTTTACGTTTTCCCTTATCAATTATCTCTGTGAGCATAACATCAACCTCTTCATTCCCAAAACGACAAAGAAATTCATTTTTTTAATTTATCATATTTGGCAAATCTTTGTTGATAATAATATTTACATAAGTTTTTGTTTATTTTTATATTAGGTCACAAAAATAACAATATTCTTCTATAAGTCATTTTTATAAAAGTTCTCAAAAACTACAATAAGGCATCTAATAACTTTTACGAAAGGAATTCTTTCTTCATTGAACCAGCTAAATAAAATATTTAGTAGTCATCATTTTCAATAACTTATACATTTTTTGTTAATATTTGTTTTAAAAGTCAAACACGTTGTTTATTAATTTTTTTTGTATTTTTTTAAAATATTATATTTTATTGATATAGGATACACGTGCAAAGCACGTATCCTAAAACTAATCATTCTCAATTTTATTCATATCTAAAAAGTTGAAATATATCAACTACTCGAAACTTGGTAACCCCAACTACATAGGTGTCACGACCCAAAATCTCACTTGTTGTGATGACACCTATCTCAATACTAGGCAAGCCAACAATATCAATAAACTACCATATCTTTTAAAATTTAAAAATATAATAATTAAATTCAGCGAAAGAAATCTCACAAATACAAATATAACACTCCCAAAATCCGGTGTCACTGAGTACATGAGCATCTAATATGAATATAAAGTCTGACTGACAAAAGCACTGTCTGAAAATATAGAACATTACAATAATTAAACAGGAAGGGAATCAAGTCTGCAGACGTCAAGCAGCTACCTTGATAGTCCTCAACAGAATTAACTTCGAAATCTAGCAGTTGCCGTATCTGGGAGTACCCGGATCTGCACACGAGGTGCAGAGTGTAGTATGAGTACAACTAACTCAATAAGAAACAAGACTAACCTCTGGGCTGAAAGCAATGATGAGTTCCGCAGGTACAGTCCAATATAAATAATGGTACAGAAATATAGACATGCTTTCAAGTTCAATAGTTAAAACTCAGTGNATATATATATATATCGACTAATAGTTAGTCTCTCTGTCCGTATAAGGCCAATCCAGCCCTGAAAAATTTATTCCCAAATATAAATGATACGGACAAGATCCATGTCCAGGTAAATTCATCACAAAATAAATAAGTAAGGCAAGTCCACGCCCTGGTAAAATAACACTAACTTCTCCCATGTCTTTCATATCAAAATTGGAAGACAAGAAAAATTTAATTTTATGTACCAAATCAAGACTAGAACTAAAAATAAGCATGTCATCCATATAAAGGCAAATAATAACACATGTATCATCTACACATTTTGTATAAACACATTTATCTACTTCAATTGATGAAAACCTATCATTAATCAATACTTGATCAAATTTTTCATGCCGCTGTTTAGGTGCTTGCTTTAGACCATACAAAGATCTTAGCAATTTACATACTTTGTTTTCATGGACAGACACTATACAACCCTCAGGTTGCTTCATGTATATTTTCTCTTCTAAATCACCATTTAAAATGCAGTTTTAACGTCCATTTGGTGAATAAAAAATTTATAAATAGAAGCCAAGGAGAGTAAAACATGAATTGAGGAAATTCTAGTTACAAGAGCATAAGTATCACAATAATCAATATTTTGCTTTTGAGTAAAACCTTTTGCAACAAGTCTAGCTTTGTATTTATCAATGGAACCATCCGAATTGAGTTTCTTCTTAAAAATCATTTACAACCAATAGGTTTTGGCTTTCGGAGGTAAATCAACTAAAGTCCAAGTTTTATTTTGTAAAATTAAATTTATTTCTACATCAATAACTTTTTTCCAAAATGAGGTATCAGACGAAGAAATAGCTTCAAAATATGTTAAAGGATCATTATCCACAAGATAAGTATAAAAATCATTACCAAAAGATTTTTCTTTCCTTGGTCTTTTGCTTCTTCTTGAGTCCTCACTTTTAAAATCATTTTGAATAATTGAAACATGTAAAATATTATCACTTGGAATAACAGGAGCATCAGAAATATTCTCAAATTTTAAAGGAAAAATATTTTCAAAAAATTCAGCATTCTTTATTTCAACAATAGTATTGTGTTCAAGCACATTACTTTTGACTACTAAAAATCTATATGATGCACTACTTTCAGCATACCCAATAAACATACAATCAGATATTTTAGACCCTATTTTCCTTTTTTTAGGATCGAGTAACATATCTTTGGCAAGGCACCTCCACACTTTCAAATATTTCAAGTTAGGCATATATCCCTTTCATAACTCATAAGGATGTTTACCCGGCTTCTCACAGGGAAT